CAGTGCTCGGGCCCTAAAAATCACTCGAATTTGGACCCATTGTTTCCTCATGACAGTCACATTATAAGGGACAGAAACAAAACTTGGATAAGGTGAGGTTACATTAACACATAGAGTGGCTACAGTCCATTTCACTGGAATCTTACAAAGTAGGAAATAGGTAACATAGTTTCATGTTTTGTCAAGATCGTGTAGCCCCATACCTCTCAGCTCCAGCGGCAGAACACCCCTGACCACACCTCTGCTAGCATCGCTGGATTCACAGGGACCCTGGTTCTGTAAGAAGGCCAGAGAGCTCTGCTTTCCCGGGCCTTTCCGTCCTGCAACACAACCCAACACCCCTACAGGAGGACGAGGCTCTGAAGGAGAAGACCCAGAATAAGAGAAGTTAGTGTGATGAACACAAAAAGAAACTTTGCAGAAAATATCTATATAATCTTGTATTTAAATCCCAGCATCTCCACTTCACTGGAAGTAACAGAGATTCTCCCAACAATGAGTGGACTTTTTGCAAAGGGACATGTCAAAAGCGTGTTCTTTGCATGTATGAGGTCCTGGATTCAATCCCCAGAATGTGAACTTTTTTAAAATGATTAAAAAAAATCTTTAGAAAGAGAGAGCTTGAAATACATTACAGTGTAGAGTGTCATGTCGCTGTTGAGCTGAGTTTGGTTTGGCAGAATTACATTTGCACTCATGTTACAGCATTAGTTCAGAAACTGGATATCTTATGAGACTGAATATATCATTTCACATATAAACTCCAGCTTGTATATGTTTGGGGTACCTTCTTCCGGCTCCAGCAGAATCATATAGCCTTTCTCAGTGGTTACCGTTCCTCCTCCATCTCCTTTTCTTTCTCCCTTTCGCTGCCCTGCTGTTTCTTTTTTAAAACGCTGTCTCTCTGTTTTTTCTCCTCCTCTTCGCTTCCCATTTATCTCGTCTAACAGACACAAGGAGAAAGAGTCCGAATATACAGCACCTCCACAATGGCTAGTAGTTCAAGTTGTCAACTCCTGTGTTCTTAACGGTTGTAACATTTTACTCACCAGGAGCTGGTGGTACCAGCTTTGTAAACTTTGAATATTATATTATAATTAAATTACATTTCAAAATAATAAAACAATGTAAACATTTTGCCAATAACATTATCGGTACCACCTCTGATACAAACATATTTAACAATTAAAAATAAAGCAAATTTAATATATTGTTTTCCTTCCGAAACTAGCAACCACACATGAATAAGTCTTAACTAGGTAGGACATTTCTTAAGCTTTAATAGAGCAACCTGATTTAGTAAACTGAGATTTCAGAAACTTCTCTTGCAACAAAATGGTTTAAATAAGGAAAGATCGTAATTATGGTTAAATGTTAAAAAATCTTATTTTTCCAGTCACTGCTGTCTACATTTCAGTAATAATTTTACTGTTAACCCCAAAACGTAATTATTTACAACATTACTTTTGTTGGCACCCCCCTATTGATCACATCCAATCACATCCTTGGATTTTTTTTTGTAACCATGAAGGAAAGTAGTTTCGAAGATGGAAACACTTATATTCAGTGGCTGGAAATATTCCCATTACTTTGATTTTAACAAACACAACTGGATTTTAATAGTTGTAAATCTGAATGACAAACAATCTATCCATCCACCAAGTTAGTGTGTTTGTAGTCTTCCTCTGTGTGTGTCTTTGTTACCCTCCTTCCCAGGAAACAGCAGAGGAAGAAACAGAGGCTGCTGATGAAGTCGACTCAGATTTTCCTGGGATTGAGAGCCAACTCTGTCTGCCTTTGGTGGTGCATCCTGCTTGGTCTGAGCCTGGATAGCCTGGTTGGGGACAACAGTACGACTCTCTGCTATGGGAGGTAGGCGCTGTGCATGCTTGTCGTCACTGATGGGGCGCTCCCATCCTGGCTGAAACATTCAACGTTCATGCTATTTGGAGGTAAAAATAATCGTAGTTCTGATAAAACTGATTCTAGTAGCATCTACAGCCCCGTAGCTGCCAGTACTTCCCCAAAGGACGCTGACTGGTTGGGCACCACTGCACCGACCACTTGTCCCTCTCTTTAATATAAAAACATTGATTGAAACTGTCCACCAAAATAAACTTTTTATTTCACTAGCAGTTTCCTGCACATGTGGTGCCTCTATCTAGGAAGAAATACCTGATGGTGCACAAGTGTAGTTATATGCTGTTGTGATACTACTAAGTCAACTACTTGTTGACACCTGACTGGGTGAGCACTGAGTTAATGGTTATTTTCTATTGTGGAAAATACTATCATACAGTATGTGCATCTTAGCAACACTGATACGAGTATGTTTTGGCCTGACAGTTGCCTAACTGTACTTGAAACTGCTGTCTTACCCTGTCTGTCTTCTCCAAGCAGGACCCGTGGCTGACTGACTGTCCCACTGTCAGAGGAGGAAGGAGGCCTGTGTGTGGGGAGCATCAGGGTTACCAACATTTAGAGTAGACAAATTAAAGATTTGGCTTTATTACTTTGCTTTTGCTATCAGCCTACTACTACTTCTATTACTACTACTAAAATTTAGCCTAACTTTGGAGCGTTATTTCGTTTTCCCCTCATGGATGCGTTAGGTCATCTAGTTACATATGATACCAGTATCTTCAATTTAAACAGAGCTACAGCCTGTGAAAGATGGAGGGAGTGGAAAAGGTAAGGATAATGTGCTGGCACTTGTTGTGGCCAGTCAGATTTCACACCACTGTTTGTACAATAGACTCTATCTGTATCTCGGCTCTTCAGCAGTCAGGAACATTTTGTTTTCATTTGATAAAGTGAAGAAGAAGGTGAGTACATGAAGATAGCTTGCATTTCAGGACATCTCGTTGACTTAAATTCATTACACATTTATAACTTCAACTTAGGACATCAATTTGGTTTGTTACAAGAGACCATACACACACCTGTCCTCCCATGTCTGTTCACGTTCATCGATCTTTCATAACTGCCTTTATCACTGGTCGTTTCACTGTCTTGAATAGAACAGCCTTGATCATCTGGCGCTTCACTGTCACAGTTCATGTTTGGATGATGGAGGTCCACTCCCATACTGTGATGATTTCTTTCAGTCTGCTGTGAACTTTCAGCATGCTGCAGACTCCTGTCTGAGTGAGTCTGTGGCTGGTAGGAAAGACATTTTGCTAATGAATTAAATAACATCAAAAACAGCATCATTCCAACAATTCAATTCATATACATTTCCAAGCATAAAGGAGCATTAACAAATGTCTTTAGATGCAACATCAGACATTTCACCTGAGCTTCTTCTTCTTCAGGGGTCACAGTTACGTAGTGTACCCAGGGCTGAAGTTCCGTTTGTGGAGTTGGAGTCCTGGCGGTTCTGGGTATCTGGAGGAACACATCCAGTCTGATTCTCTTCCTGATGTGTTGCTCCACCTCTTTATCTGCAGAGAAGCTGATTTTTAGGATCTCACCACACTGGGTTGCTTTCAGTAGGTTTGGGAGAGTCAACATTTTGCCATTTTCCTTGCTTACAGAATACTATAACAGAGGGGTGGGGTCAGGGTTCCCAGTGCTACAACATAACTACAGAGGCCCATGCATATTTTGCCCCCTCACTTTTAATTTTGTGGGTTCCACCAGAGTTATTGTTTTGGACTTTGAATGTCCACCCATATCAGTGTATATCAACACATCTGTCCGTTTTTTACCCTCAGGTTGACTCTCCAGTTGTTCAGTGTTTCTCGTTGCAGGAAGCGTCTGGGGGTTAAACTGTACAGGTAGCTGTTTACTGGACTGCTCTCGTGTGGTGTGAAAGGGCAGAGGACTGGGACGATGAAGGTCTGTAGCAAGAGGGAGACGAAGAGGAGGAACGAAAGGTGGACCAAGTCTGGAGGAGGTGAACTGGAGGGAAGACAAACGTTAGACTTGTAAATTTGCTAGCAAAGGATGGAGAAAGTTGCAGAAGGACTGGGAAGTCAAAGTTAAGCAAAAGGGGATCCAACTGTGACTGCTTCATATGGGAGAAAAAGTTTAGCATGTTTGCTAAAAACAACTGCCTGCGGTTACTGGGAACAGGGTTGAGGACAGCGCTAAGACACTGGGCCAACAGTTATTTCTAAATAAATTATGAAATTAAAAATTTAGAGGCCAACTCCACTTTTGAAATAATTCACACAAACACTTTTTGACGGTAAAAATCCTGCTCAGTGGTATGAACCGAACTGTGGTCAGTCAGGTGAGCCTAGGAACCTGTATACCTGTATCGCAGATTTTAACTCACAAAACCTTTGTGATACATGTAAGTTGTAGAATTTTAGTGTCATTCAATCTTTTTAGGGTCCAGTGTGTACCGCTGAGGAGGATCTACTGGCACAAATGGAATATGATATTCATAGGTATGTTTTTTATTAATGTATAATAACTTGACACTAAGAAGCAGAGCTATCTGGCCTGTCTTTTAGAGGTGGGTTGCCTTCCATGGAGTCCAGTGTGTTGAACTTCCATGTTTCTACAGTAGCCCAGAATGGACAAACCAAACACTGGCTGTACTTTTGGTCCATTTGCAATTTTGTGCATCTCGTATTATTCCTGATGTATTGCACCTACCTGATTGTTGCTGTAGTTCAAAATGGCTGCCGTTAGTTCCTTGAGTGTGCTCAGCTGCTGTTCCATATGTTGGCTGTACTGCTGAACAACCCGCTGCTTCCTGTTTCTGGTTTCTGAGTGACAGTTGGTTTCCATAGTAACCAAGTCCTGAGGACAGAGGAAGGTGGAAGAAATCATCCAGAGGTTTCTGTATGTAAAAGGTGTGTGTAGTGCCATATAATGTTTTCAGTAGAGGTTTGGCCGTTGTATCTGTCTTGTTAACTGTGCCCAGTCAAATGTCCCTTGTTACTTATTGGCCATAACTGTACTAGTGTGCGCACACAGAGTTACCTGGGAGTACAGCAGAAGTGCCCCCCTGCGAGTGCTGTAAGTCTTTGGAAGGGTTGACTCTGCCTCCACAAGCAGACGGCCTCCATTGGACAGTCGCAAGAGAGAGTCCTGGGACTTCCAGATGTAGTAATCCTATTGGTCAATACATGCATTTTATTGATTATATAATGAATGAAATGATTGATCTGGATTAATTCATTCATGGATAAACTGATTTACTCGTTAACTGATGGATTCATGGGTTTCTTCACCTTTGTGAGAAGGTTTAATTCAGCTATATTCCATAACAAAGACAGTAATCCAGCAACAAACAAACAATCTGACCAATACCAAAACTGTAAACTAAATCGTGACCAGACTGACGAAAGCTCAGAACAGCAGGAATATAGCTGCTAGTTGTCAGAGCTAACATGCTAATCAAACAGCTGCTGTTAGACTGTCCATGTCCAGGAGCTTTGACAGTCACTAGAAGCAAAGTCACAGGACTTATGTATTAGTTTCTGTGTGGTACCTGTGTTGTAACGTTAGCTAAGCTACCAGCTCAAACAGATTAACCTCTTCGTTGTCTGTGGGGGAATGTCAGCCTATGGCTACAGAGCAGGCCACAGTTGTCCGAGCTGAAACATTTGTTTTTATGAGTGGGCGGGGAGGCGTGGGTCTGGTTGGTGACAAAAACTGCCACCACGTCACCTGCCACCAAATCAGCCAATACCGAAACTCAATAGCTGGGTTCCAACCAATTCAAATAGATGTGGACCTGAATCGATCAACAACATATAAGCTGATAAAATTAGGGTTTGGGGGTTTAATTACTCTTGAAGTGTATTTTGGTGCTAATAGCTGTACAATACTAATATGTATTCCAACATTAAAGATAGTACAGCCTTTGTGACTGTGTGAGAACCTGTGGTGTAAAGCAAACGTCCAGCCGTCCATAATGTCTCCCTGTGTTTCTGTTGGACGAGACAAATCGACCACACCCCCGGCTCAGCAGGGACAGAGGCAAATCCTTCATGATGTCATTTCGTCCTGGAGGATGGGCGATTCAAGGAGGATAAGACTTAATTATGTTATTCCATAAATTCCAAAGTAAGCAAGATATTGATAGTGCTATATCAGGATAATACTGACTTGATTTGGTTTGTTTTCTCCTTATGTCTGTCTGTAAGTGTTAACATATATCTCAATGTGTATGTTACTGTGAGAGGCAACCTATCTAGGTGTACATTATTTTTTAAGATTTGTGGTAAATGTTCTAGTCCTTCAATTGTGGAAGGACCTACATATTGTCATTCTATCTAAGTCACTTGTACCTCACTCAACTAAAACTACAGATGATTTTGTGGTTCATGTTTAGCTGCAGTAAGTAACTTTTATAAAAATAATTTTTAGTCATATTTACTAAAACTTTGACTTTCTCTTGATCGTAATATGTGAGACAAATAATCTGTAAAAAAATTAGGTTGCTCTGGCTCGTTGTAGTGCTTTTAATGGTATTTGCAAGAATTCACGAGCCTGAACGAAAACAACCAATCAGAGCCGAGAAAGATAGAAAGACGATTTGGGTTGGTGTCTTGAAGATAGTTGTTTGTTGAGTTTCCTTCTCAGTGTCACTGTTTTACGACCTGATTTTTAATTTTTTTTTTAAATCACCTACTGCAGCTTTAAGCAAAAAATAAATGAGTTCATTACTTCAATAAATTTAGGACATTTTATATCTTATTCACATGTTATGTAATCTTTAAATGTATGTTGTTATACATATAGTAGATAGTAAACAGTAGATAACCATTAGCAATTTTCCAGAAATGGCAACCAAAGATATTAATAGTATATAAAATCAGACATTTCCAAATGTCATACATACAATGTCTGTAAAACAAATAACCTTTACTGAGGTACTGGGTGCAAAAAAAGTTTAAGATTAAAAAAGAAAAGCAGTGCTAATATGTAAAGTAATTGCAGAGAGCAGTTCATTACCTCAGAATTTTGTAGCCCATCTGCCTATACTATAACAGGGACAATATTGCCTTTAATGCAACAAATGGATATAAATCACAGAAGACAGCAAACTTCCAGTAAAAGTCATGAATCATCAAGCTTTCTGTTTAGGTAGTCTTCATTCAGACTAAATGAGTGAACACATAAACTTAATTTCCTCAATCACAAACATTGTAAGTAACCATCACTGAGGAGGTAAAGGATTAGAGCCCTGAAAATATACCTGAAAAAGTATTGTCTGCGAAAAGTTATGTAAGTAAAGGTGATTTAGATTTTGTGTGTTTTATTTAGTTTATCGTTGCAGCTTAGTATCATGTTAAAGCAGAATTAAACATAAAAGAGAAAACATTGGACGTACCTGCTGTGTCCCTCACAAAGACTGCCCTCTGTGTGTGTGTGTGTGTGTGTGTGCATACGTGTGTGTGTGTGTGTTCAATCCCTGTTGCTAGGTTTTCCAGAGTTGGCACTTTGTGTTTGGGTTGCCGTGGCTGCAGTGACATACATTGGAACACACACGCAAAAAGAAACGGAAATAAGACATTAAAATGTTGTTCAGTTGTTCCTCCAGCCAAGGTTACACAGTCCATAATGACACACACATCTCATAGACAGCAAGGCATTGTTGCAGACATGTGATATACTGTAGTTTATTGCTTTTTGGTGGCTGGTACCTCCACAGGGAGACCCCAATGGATGCCAAATCATTCATTTTAACACTGTCTGCTGTACCAACATGTCTGTGTCTTCACCAAGTGTCAACCTATCATGACATCACCCATTGGTTTATGGAGTACCAGCTTGAAGCCTTGAGATTGGTGTTATGCTCGTTCCCATTACGGTTTGTCAGAGCCAGCGGAGGTGACATACTGCGAGTTGAGCTGCTCTCATTGACTGTGCAGTTTCGGCTTATTCGTAGCAGGAAACAATGCTTGCTTGGTGAGACACAATCTTGTATTATAGCCTTATTGCCTTTATTTGATAGGGACAGCTGAAGATAGACAGGAAAGGGGGGTAGAGAGAGTGGGGATGACACGCAGCAAAGGGCCGCAGGTCGGATTCGAACCCTGG